TTTTTAGCTTCAGTGAGGTGTTCTCCATCCTTTCATCATCTGGAGGAAGGAACAACTATCTAATCAGCTTGTCTGAAGGAAATGCCTTTTTAATGAGACCAAGTCTCCAGCAAGACTCAAAATAGAAAGGCAGTAAAGTCAGAAGTGTTTATAGAAAGAAACTGCTTTAAAACTGTTAGTGTTGTGGTATCTTGGAAATGACAGCTGCTGATACATCCACAAGCTGTCCCAGTCTCAGCTCTCCTTACTGTTGTACACCCTTGGCTGATGGGGCACTCTTATACCCTCATTCTACACCGGTAGATGATGAAAATCCTTTCCTGTCACCTCCCTCCTGTACCAGCCTATCTGCAGGGTTTTGCACCAGAGAATCAGAAAACAGAATTTCAAAGCCATCCCAAGGAAAAGCCTCTTGGCTAAAGTCCTGGGATTTCTTATTTATTTACATTTTCTTCCTTGTACTTTGAACATATCTGAAGTTGTTCCTTGTTTTCTTAATGTGTAAGCCTTCCCCAAGACAAATGCACCAAGTAGAACCAGTCAGGGGTGCAGATCTGGTGCCAAGGAGACATGATTTACGTTACATGCAAATCTACTTTGGCAGCACAAGAGCTTTCCTTTCATCCAAATGGCTTAAAGCAAATGAAAACTGGCCTCAACATGGATATACTGCCCTGGAAAGAAACCCAAATGGGTGTAGTCTGAGAGTGGTATCTAAGACAGCTGTGCCTCATTTGTAGCTTCACTGTCAGGATTTTGAATGGAGCAGAACATAAACCTCTCAGGAACACTATTTTCCAGTACCTAATGCAGTGCTCTGACATCTTCACAGCCAGGTGAAAGCGTCTCCTCTGCCAGATCAAGGGGCAGAAGGAGTGTCAACCCGGCAGACTGAGACAAGCATGCCCCTAAGGCAGCTCTCACAATGGTGTTCCTCAGTCACTCTTGCAATTATGTCAGATTAACAGCGATTTACAGCTGGGCTGGCACCCAGGGCCACAGGGCAGGAGGGCAACCCCAAAGCTGCACTGCACAAACACCTGTCATAAAACCATAGCCACGGGGAAGGGCGGGGATGCAGACACTTGGGTGAGTATCAAACTCTAATAGCTGCTCCTGACCTACAGCAGTGCAAAGGAGAGTGATGAAGTACAGTTGCCCTGTAGAAAATACCCAGATCAGTTTTGGTGACAGAAGTCAAGTCATGGTTGCAGCACTGTTTTTGCTATTTGGGGTTTTTTTTTATTATTATTATAAACACTATAGGACTGATGTGTTTCCTGTGAGACCATCATCTTCTCTTAGCAACTGCCCCTGGTTTTCTCTGCTGCTTCCTCAGCAGGAAGAGGTACACTGGGTGCCCACCACTGCTCCAACGAGGCTGTACTGGGTGAGGCACATATTAGCTCTCTGGACTGTAAAACATGTCTGGAAGGTTTGGGAATATGATTCCAATGGCAATTGTAGAGATGCCTAATGATACAGCTCAGCTGCTTGCTTTGGCACATTTCACACAAGTGGTTTCCTCCAGCTCTGCTGAAGGAAAATCATCCTCTTCTGTTCCTCCTCCTGTTACCAACACTGCTGATGGTCAAGCTTAGATTTTCAGCTTGCACTTTTGCCCCTTGAGGTGTAAGATACCAGTCAAGTACTTCACTAAGGTCCTCACCCTTCACAGTTCTCCCTTCTCCCTCAGTTCTGCTGTGCCATAACCCAACTCTTGACATGAATCTAAAAAGTTATGCCTGTCTAGTATCAAAACACATGATTACACAGCTAATTTTCAGTAATATTAACCATAAATAGGAGGAAAGAAGGGAACTGATGTAGAAATTGCTTAGTGACAGATCAAGAAGCCTCCAGCTGCTAAGGTTACCCAGAGGTGAATGTTGACACAAGCCCGCAGGTACTCAGCCAGGAGATGTCCAGAGACAAGATGTAATGAGGTGGTCTCAGGAGAGCTGACTCATTACAGATTGTGGTGTCCAACCTTATCTAGGGCAGCACTGCTGCCTCCCAGCTATGAATGTTCGAGTGTTTATGAAAACCTGACAAGGTATCTGCAAGATATTTAATGCAAAATACTGTGGGGGGCAAAGTTGTTAATGCTGGCTTTGGTCAGGGAAATAGCTGGGAATTGCGCTGGCAAAACTACTGAGCCCTGAGGAAAAGGGACTGTTCTAGCTGTAAAGTAGTTTTTCATTCTAGGCTAATGATAATCCAAGGACATTAGTATTCCACACATTAGTAGTTAAAGCTGCATCAATTTAGACCAGAAAAGCTGTTTGAGTATAGCAATAATTAACTATTAAATCCAAACAGGTCACTTGTCCATCCCTGAAGCACTCTACCGAGATCTCTCAGGAATGTGGTATGTTAAAAAGCAAACTCAGGGCTACCAATGGACTTGAGTGGAGATGCAAGACCCTCATTCTTTCTTGCAGCAGAGCAATCAAGGAGGAATTTTTCTAAAGGAATTGAGTGTTCAACATAAAGAAGAGCAAAAAATCCAGGCATTCTGTTTCTTCTGGACAGAAATTGAACTGATAATTGTATTCTGCTGCAATAAACTAAGCAACCAGATGTTTCAGATAATTAGTATTAGAGTCAAATTTTTCTAGCAGCTATTTTCCTTGTGAAAGACAAGCAGTTTATCAGCCTGGACAAACTCTTCCAACAGGATGTCTAAGACGTGATCAAGACAAAAAATGCTATTTGCATATACTTTTTTTTTCCAAAGCTTTAAAGCATAGACTTGAATATTGGTAACTGCAGTAGCACGTGCAGAGGTTTACTTCTGGCTCCAGAGATACAGTTGAGTTATATGAGTTTCCAGAGCTTTGCTGCCTTTAGCATCCAACCTGGAGCAAGCAAAAGCTGACTGGAAGGACCAGAATGCCCCCAAAATGTGGGTTGTTAACTTTTTTAGGGAATTTTAAGACTTCCCCTACCATCACTCTGTATGCTGAAGTATTTTAAGAGACATCACTCTGTTTTCACCTAATTAAAAGTCTGTGAGCTTGTCCATCCTGTTTATAACACGCTACAGCATCCACCTGGAGCAAAGCATCTGTCTAACCATGCTAATTGAATTAATCTGCAAATCTACCCATCTAGAGACCTTGCTACCTTCCTAACTTCCAGGACTTTTATAGCAGAGGTCCATAAATAAACATTTATAGGAAAGAGATGAGCAGTTCTGATGGCTAAAGAGATTTCCAAAAAATGAGCCTTTTTTGGGTTTCTTTGGTGGAAGAACCAGTTTTCTCTGGATGGAAAACAAACATCCTATGAACTGGCAGAAACCAGTATGGATGGAAGAGCCAGTTTTTCATGGCCTCATGCAAAAACCTTGGCATTTGAGGCCTCAGGTAGCTTCTAAGGTGCATCTTGTGAGGCTTGCAATGTCTGAAGGACTGATCTGTATCTCATTAAAATGAAGGCCACTCAGCTACAAGCACCAGACTGTTCTCCCCACTAATTGTTTGATATCGGTGCCTCAGGCCATCAGTGTTAGAGACTGTGTCCCTGGGGTAGATGGGACTATTGACACCTGTTGATGTGGCCCAGACCTGCTGGAAAAGCTGTGGCAAGCCAAAGTTCAGCATGGGAGAAAGTTGTTGGCAGCTGAGGAGCAAAGGGCAGCAAGTGACCGTGCCAGATCTTTTCCCTTCTTTCTATCAATGGTTTGCAGTTCTGCCAGGCAATGTGCACCAGCTGGTCTGGGTAAAGATTCATCAACCTGGGTGGAGACTCTGCTCAAGAGTAATTTTCAGCCTAGTGTTTACTAAAGTTAGTCCCATAAAAGTAGGCCAAAATAAAAAGCCCCCAAGCGATGGAGTATTTTGGGAGACGAAACTCAAAAAGAGTGCAGGAAGGATAAAAAGAGGGCTCAGTTAAAATATCAGTTCCCTTGACTTCCTGGTGATGACTGGCTTATGCCTTGAAAAATTAGAATGTTCTTAAGTTCCATTTTCAAAGGTATCTTCTGAGGTGTTCAGGAGTTTCAAACAATCGCCTCTGCCACCTTTGAAAAGAAATTTATGATCCAAATCAGGAGTTATTTCTGAAAAATGTAACCTGTGTTTCCACAGAAAACTGTTCCTCTCAAAGGCCATGGGCATCTCAGTACTAAATGGATCATTGTGGATTTAAACTTACACATAACTGGAAGGTTAATAACATAAGGAAGTCAGGTAGCAGCCCCCAGTGTGGATCCAGAAATGAACTGGAAAAGTGCACTCAAGGAGTGAAACAGATCAGGTTTTGCTATTGTGCCAGCAAGGAATGTGATCTGTAATAGTAGAAGCGAAGATTAGTGGTTTTTAACAGAAGATATCTCTTGAAATTAGAACTCGGGGTAGGGGTGACCACAAAGGGCACCATTGGAAGGGCTGGGACACGGAGGACAGGAAAGGCTGGCCCACGTGGCAGCGACAGGGCGACGCACACCTTCTGCCGCTCCTTTTTAATGACCACTTAATTTTTGCAGGGCCCCCCTTCCCATTTGCGAAAGGACTCCTACAACTGTATGAAATTAGGGCGCCTGGGGCAGGGGGGTGGGTGACATCTGGAAGGAGGTGCCGGAGAGGCCAACGCGGGGGCACAACCTGCGCGAAGACTCTCCGATCCCATCGCCGCACGGGAGCATCCCCGCTCCCTGCGCTCACGGCTGCGGGTCCGTGGGGCACCCGGGGCTGGAGGGGAGGGGGAGGTCGCTGCGGCCGCTTCCCCCGCGGTAACAAGAACCGGTGGATCCCGGGAGGGGGCTGTCCCGCCCGCCGCCGCCGCGGAGCCTCCGCCAGCCCCATCCACATCCCCATCCCCGCGCGTTCCCCGCCCCTCGCCGGCGGGGGCGCGGATCCGGCCTGCGCGGGGCCGGCGGAGAGAGGGAGCGCGGCCGGGCGAGGGGAGGAGAGAAGCGAGGAGGAGGCGGTGGCGAGCTGGCCATGGCAGCAGCAGCAGCCCGCGGGCGGAGAGGCAGCCGCCGCGGGCTGCCGCTGTGATTGGCACCCGAGGAGGAGGAGGAGGAGGAAGGCGCGGAGCAGCCGCGGGGCCCGCCATCCCGCGGCGGCGGAGCGGCGGCGCCCGGGAGGATGCCGGGGAAGCGGAGCTCGGCGGGCGGCGGCGGTGGCGGCACCACCGAGCTCCCGGGGGCCGGCGCGCCGCGGCAGCGCAGGCGGCGGAGGAAGGTCTCCTGCTTCTCCAGCATCCAGCTCTTCCTGGTGTCCGAGTGCGCCCTGATGCTGGCCCAGGGCACGGTGGGAGCCTACCTGGTGAGTGCGGCCGGCCCGCAGCCCCGCGCCCCGGCGGGGCTGAGCCGCGGGCGGGGGTGCGCGGCGGAGCGCGGGGGAAGTTTGGCCGGCGCCGGGGCGGCTCGGCGGGGCAGCCCCCCAGCCCTGGAGGGTCAGGGCAGCTCGGCGTTTGGCGGCTGAAATGACTCAGCAGTGCCCAGGGGTCACCCACCCTCTGCCTCCCAACTTGTGCGGCCGGTGCCCGGCACTCCCGAGCGCCCGGAGCGCGGCGGGCGGGCTGGCACCGCTGCGGGGCTCTCCGGCCGGCCGGGCACTCCAGTCCGGTGCCAGCCTTCCCGCTTCACACTGAATAATTACCAAGGAATTCTAGCGGGGCATTTACTTCGTGCCTCCCGCCTTACCCGGTTTTGCTCATCCTCTCGAGCGATGCAGCGGTGCTGAGCGCAGCAGCCCCGCCAGTCCCGGTGTTGGGTACAGAACAGCCAAAATAAGACTTCAGCGCTAAATCTGCATAGTGAGATGTGGTGTCAGAGGCAGAAGTATAGTAGAAGAGTTGGGAAGATGTCCATACGGCTGTGCTTGTGCCTTGGAGCATACAGCCTGTGGAAATGTTCTGCTTCCAGCAGATGTAAGTGTATAGTTGATTTAAATTTCTCAAAATAGATTGCTGGATTTGAGAATTATAGTTTCCATGGAAAAGAAACGTATTCATAATCTCTGAGGCTTTTTGAGGCCATACACATAATATATTCTACAGTAAGTGTAAGATCTCTGCTTTCGGTACTTGTATTCAGTATTTAGCATTGCTCTTCTCACATGCTCAAACTACTTATGCAAATTTGTACTGAACGTGATCTATAATTTTTCAAGGTATATGACTAAACTAACCATGGTTAATACTCCCCATTAATATGAAATGGAAGTTAGAATTCATCTCTATATAATAAAACATAAGTTTAGTTTGGAACATATTTGTAATTCCAAAGGAAACTACATGAGATCTGATGAGCTAAATTTAGCAGTTCTATACCCTACGTGAGTATAGGTGGGTATAACTTAATTTGTAGGACCCTGACAAGAACATGCCCCTTTTATGTGAGTAACACCTTAGTAAGTAAAGACATTGTTTCCGATGAGCTGCTTGCAAAATGAGCTGTCAGTGTGAATGAGTGCGGAGTAATCCTTCCTCAAAGTAATAGCCAGGGAAGAGCCCACGGGTGATGTCACTCAGTGGGCACCAATGTGCTGGAAATGTATGGATCTGCTAGAGGACTGTATATTGGCACATTTCACTACAGTGTCTGAGTGTAGGAGCAGCAGCAATAGTCGCTAGTGTGGCATTTTCCTCAAACTCGTTGCATTGCTCTCTCCTCACCAGTTTAGCATTTCTTTTCCTGTTTTCTCCAACTCTTGGGTTGTGCTTTGTACTAGAGTAGAGCACTCGCTCCCTCTTGCTCCTCTGGAGTGTTTCACACACTCCAGCCCCCCAGGCTGGAAATGACCATTGCCATCACAATTCCTGTAGCCTCCTTCCTGCGAGGGGTGACACTCGACTGAGGTGCTACTGTCTCTACTCTCAGCCCTTCTCCAGGTCTGTATCCTGAGCGGCATGACAGCAATGCCCCGTGGCTGGCCAGATCCACAGGCAGTAACAGACAACTGGGCAGTGGAGGGGAGGGAAGAAGAAAAGCAAACTAAAAACAATCCCCAGCATGCATAAGCAGTGGCCCAGCTGCACTGGGCAAGTGTTCCTCCCTTCCCTGTATAATTTATCTGCCGTCATTGCAAATACCATGCAGCTCTTCATACAATGAACAGATGTAAATGTGGAATTATCTTTGGAGGGTACACACGTGCTTAAAGCGAGTCTGGCCAGTGCTGTGCTTACAGGTGCTGCAGGGGAGTGAGAGCAGGAGCAGGAAAGATGCTTGGTGGAAAGTGTGGAGGACCTAATCGTTTTTGCAGACCAAGTGTCCCATGAGGCCAAGTGCTGCTCTCAGGTGCTGTCATGGGGTGAAATCAGTGGAGGCACTGCAGAGCTGCTCAGGTGTAACTGCAGGTGGATATTCATTTACTCAGGCTCCTGGGATGAGTGGGGATTGGCTGTGGTCTGCCGGGCTGCTCCCAAGGGGACAAATTAGCAGGCGAGACAAAGTGGAGAGCAAACAGAAAGACAGACAAATAGGGAGATGCTGCGTAGGACAGGCACAGTCTGTAGTTCTGGGCAGTTGAATAAACTACTAATTTTAGCCTGTCAGCAGTGAGGGAGTAGTGTATTCATACTTCTGCTTTCCTTGGCCACATTTGTGACTTTCCCTAGTTATTTGTAACTCAGGAAGAGAAACCTTTTTTTTTCCTTATACGGCGACAAGTTGGTTTCCTCAGTTATTGTCTGCCTTGTTCTGCACAGAGAGACCATGAGGGCAAAAATTGAGCTTGTTAAGAAAACAAGGCAGGGGCTTGGCTTCTCAGGAGTGATGGAAGAGCTCAGTTTGGATTGGGCTTGGCTTTCATGTCAGTACATTTAGAAGTGGATATTGCTATTTCTTTTTAGAGATGTAAAAAACTTCTTTTTTCCATGTTCACTGTACAATAAACCAGCAGCGCCCACTTGAATATATGTACAAAGTATGCATTCATTCATTATGTGGTTTTGAAGCAAAGATCATTCACTTTTATTTGTTCATAAAACATTGTGCTTGCCAACAGGGCATTATAAATAATAAATGCTGATAAAAATCTATATAAAGTCCAATTCTTTTCCCACAGAACTCAGCAGTGAAAATACCCCAGGACGCCAGCAGTGTCTGTGGTGAAGTAGTACAGTGTCTCTGAGGTTCTTCATGTGAAGTTTTAGGGAGTATTTGATCAATGTCACGTTCCAAAATATTTGTCTATTATTATGCTTGCTGTTTGCAAAATGCACATGTTCCAAAATTACTTGGTGCCATATCCTGCATAGTTTATGCAAATACAAGCCTGTGCTGCTGCCTTAATTTCTGGGGCTGCTGAATACACCCTATTATTTGCATATTCTTGTAAGGTTTTGTGTATGCATTTATTTGGCTTCATCTAATTACTTCTGCGTGCTTTTGGAAACTTGAATTTCCCAGCAACTGCAGTGGCAGTGGGGAAACTGCTGCTTGTAGTCTGCAGGCATTTCTGCTGCAGAAGTTACTCAGGGTTTTCGCAGCAACTTTTAGAAGGCCAGCTGATTTCCCCCCGCGGTTGCTCTCCTGCAGCATTGGGCAGTGGATTAAAGAGCTGAGCGTTGTTGGTGCAGATGGCACCAGGAGGGAAAGGCTGGAACCTCCTCTCTCCAGCCGGAGCCTTGTGCCTTTCGGGTGAATGCAGCAGTGTGATCAGTCATGCTGGCCGTGCAGCGATGAGGATTTCGATAAGGCTGATTCACATACCTTGGCAACGCTTCCCTCCCTGTCCATCCCCCCCTCCCTCCATGAATTCCTACGTGCACTATATTTTGGAATATTTTCCCTGGTAATAACGTTCCAAGTGCTCCTGACGGTTTATCACTGAGGCATTTCATCGCCCTGCCAGTCAAATCTTTTGCCTAACCAGTGGTGAAATCATTGCTTGAGCAGAAGGCGAAGAGCTCTCGGTTTGACAGCCACAGTTTGTGGAGCAGGAGCACAATTTAATTTCCCTCCCTAGCCTTTAGCCTCGACTCACTCCCATTCAAACTGACCTACTTGCAAGCATCTAACATCTGCCAAAGTCATGGGCTTCTTTAGATAAAGGGCATGCATATGGGAAGTGTGTTGGGAACCAGTTCTGTGGTGTGCTCCACGGAGCTGTTTTTACAGAGCTTTACTGAGCTGTCTCTGTTTGCTGCAGCTTTGAATGCAGCCATTCATGTGTTTTATCAAGTGATAGAGGATGACTGGCCTGAGCATGGGATGGAAAGGAAAATAATTGGTCCGTCCCAAGAAGGGTGCATTGGTGTTTGCGTGGGAATGAATGCCAAATTGTTTCTTATTTTGCTGAATGAAAACTTTTGAGCCACACTTAACTTCCCAGGGAGAGCTTTGCCCGTGCAGCAGCGTTTCACTGCAGCCTGCAAAAGCTCTCTTAACATGTCTGCAGTAAAATAGTGCTGTGTGAGTCCAGGTGAGAGTGTGTGTGTCTATATGGTCTCTGAGACAAGCTCCTTCTGTGCGGTTTTATTGCTGCTGGGGTTTGGGATATTAATGAAAATCTTGAAATTCCGTCTTCAGAAAAAAACCCAAATATGAAAGATAAATACAGAAGTTAATCATCAAAGGGTTCCTAGTGGAACAAACAGAAATAGGGGTCCTGTGTGATGAACAACAGGGAGCTGAGGGGTTAAGAGCAGAATTTGGCTCTTGGATTTTTTAAGTTGTTTTGGTGCTCAGTCCCTTCCCCCTGCCATGTTAAATCTGACAAATGCAATTCTGTGTTCCTGTTGTACAGACCTGGTCAAACGCTCCTTGAAGTCAATGGAGAGGTCTGTGTGGAGGATGTTCTTAAGGACAGTTTTTGGGAATACTGCAGTGCTTCAGAGCTTTCCGTTGTGTTTAGCGCTGCACAATAGAATTTCCCCCTGAGTTTTCCCAGTCTGAGTTGAGTGGGTGAGAGAAGTGTCGCAGGTGGGGAAACTGAGGCAGAGATTCAGAGCTTGATTCTGTTGCTGAAGCTAATGATAAAGCTTTTGCTTGGTTGACAGCAGCAGAGCCTGAATGGTTTAGGCATGGGCAGACTTAACTGCAAGAGCAGTTTTTTCCTTTTAATTTATTATTGTTTTTAATATTGTATTTGTTTTCCTAGAATAAGAATCAGCTTTGAAATACTACTGTCTTTTTTTTTTTCCCTCAACATTCTCAGCAGTGCTGAGTAATAAATTAGCTGTAATGTTCATAATTTATTTGTCGCTGAGGTATTTAAGGGGCAAAAAAACCCCATGGAGTGAAAATAAATGTTTTAGTGGGGATGAAGATTGCCAAGCATTGGCTGGTTATTGCTTACCGTTCATTTTCCCTTAA